GGCAGAAGATGAGACAAGTAATGGGGGCTCACTCCGTTACACGGCGCTAGGGATTCAAACCGCCAAACTGCCGATCTTTCTGATTGACAAGCTCAGCGTCTTAGCCACTGAGCCACCGCGTCCCCTAATATGTTATGTAGTGCTAAATACAGGTAGCCCTCAACTTAACAACAGTTCATTTAGATACCATTCCAAGTTACAACAGCATGAAAAAAGTGACATGACCATTTTTCACACTTACGACCATTTGCAGCCTCCTCATGGTCATGTGATGAAAAATTGGATGCTTGGCAATTGCCTCTTATTTATGACGGTTGCAGGGCCCCGGGATCATGCAATCCCCTTTTGCAGCCTTTTGACAAGCGAAATCAATGGGGAAGCCAGATTCACTTAACAACCAGGTTACTATTATGACAACTGCAATGATTCACTTAACGGCTGTGGCAGGAAAGGTCATAAAACAAGTGTGAACAAATGTCTCACTTAGCAACATAAATTCTGGACTCAATTATGGTCATAAGTCGAGAACTACCTGTATACACCTTAGGACATGCAGGTTTAAAACTAGATTAAATCTTTTGCATCCACAAGGAAGGTGTGTCTCCCTATTAAGATTCATCAGAAGCTCCCAGAAAAATAATTTGGGTAAAGAAATCAGGAAATGAATCATGACATTTATCCATCTAACTAATTTACCGTATTTTTCGGACTATAAGATGCACCAGAGTATAAGATGCACCAAGATTTTGAAGAGGAAAACAAGAAAAATAGTTTTTGCCCTCCCCAGGACTACTCTGCAGGCCTCCCAAACTCTCTGGACACCCAATTTTTGCAATTCTTTTGGGTGAAAATGGAATTTTTGGGGTGGGGGTTCAGGAAGCCGTATTCGGTGTATAAGACCCACTGACATTTTCACTCTCTTTTATGGGGGACAAAAGGGTGTCCAATACTCTGAAAAGTATGGTATATAGCTGCCCATTTCACCAAAAGCAACTCTATGCAATGTAAAAAACACTAGCTGATAAATTTGAGATCTCTTAAAGTTGTCCAGATTGAAAAACACTACCCTTCAAGCAAAGATTTGAAAATCGAACCTTCCAGATGTTGACAGATGACAAGGCATTTCCTCTCTCTGTATATTTATTGAAATTGGATCACATCGGGGAGGGGTGGGCATTAGGTTAAGAAAGGATGCTATGCAATGACTCTTTAATTGTTCTAAAGCTGATCTAGTTCTCTGGTCCTTGGAAGCTGTGGTTTGTAGCTTTTGTTCCTTCAGCTTTCTGTAGCTGTATTTGCATAACAGATTTCCCCCTTGCTTAACTCTGCTTCTTTTAATTTTCTAGATCGGATGATTTGGTTGACCGTATATTAGCCATGCAGACTCTGTTTGGCACAAAGGGCTAGGCTCCAATGCGGCCGCTTGGTTTATGGGTTCAGCAAGTTGTGAGACTACAGCTACTTCAAGCTTTGAACCTTTTGGTTTAAATAGCAATAGCACTTATATACTGTATAGTGCTTTACAGCCCTCTCTAAGCGGTTTTACAGAGTCAGCCTCTTGCCCCCAACAATCTGGGTCCTCCTTTTACCCACCTTGGAAGGATGGAAAGCTGAATCAACCTTGAGCCTGGTGGGATTTGAACTGCCAAATTGCAGGCAGCTGGCAGTCAGAAGAAGTAGCCTGCAGTACTGCTCTCTAATCACTGCGCCATCATGGCTCTAAATGCATGAAAAAGACTAAGTTTGGTCAATTGCAGAGTACTCTGCCCAATAAAATAGCCATTGCATCCCTTTCTTCTTAGTGAGGATACGCTTTTCTGGTTCACCGACAAAACCGCGAAGCCCTTATCCGCGCTGACATAAGCGCGGAGGGCAAATCCGTGCCGTCCGAAGCGCTAAGGAAAAAGGCGACCCTAGCGCGATGACATAACCGCGGAGGGCAAATCCGCGCCTTCCGAAGCACCCTAACCCTAACCCTAAACCAAACCCCTAAACCTAATCCTAACCCTTACCTTAATTTAAATCGGCTTTCTGCCGCCGCGCTGTTTTAAAGAGCCCTTAAACCAAACCCCTAAACCTAATCCTAACCCTTACCTTAATTTAAATCGGCTTTCTGCCGCCGCGCTGTTTTAAAGAGCCCTTAAACCAAACCCCTGAACCTAATCCTAACCCTTACCTTAATTTAAATCGGCTTTCTGCCACCGCGCTGTTTTAAAGAGCCATTAAACCAAACCCCTAAACCTAATCCTAACCCTTACCTTAATTTAAATCGGCTTTCTGCCGCCGCGCTGTTTTAAAGAGCCCTTAAACCAAACCCCTAAACCTAATCCTAACCCTTATCTTAATTTAAATTGGCTTTCTGCCGCCGCGCTGTTTTAAAGAGCCCTTCTGTTGCCGTGCTGTTGTCGCCGCGGTGATGACGTCGCGGCTTTAGCAACACGGTTTTATCGCTGCTATTTTGACGAGCGCGGTTTTGTCGGGCCACACACTTTTCTTATTTAGGTGCCAGTTTGGCTAAGTTGTTAAAAATGAGCATCCTGCACTTGTAAACTGTTGGTCAGGGGAATCTATTTCCGTAAAGGGTCCTTAGTATAATAGGTTTACAGCTGCTGAAATCATCTCTTTTACACAACATTTACCTTCTGGCATATTTTGCAGTGAGCAACTTTCTGATATATTTTCCTGGTTCTCTTTTTCCCCAGGATGTGATCTTTCAGAAGAATTCGGTAAGTCTGGCTTATCTGTTATTCATGATATTGTTTCTATTTTCTATTCTATTTTCTATTGCTTATTCAAAAGGTTGACTCTCCCTCTCTCCTACTACTCCTATTCCTACTATCTGGGTAAAATGGATATAACAGCCAATGGTCTGTTGTGGATCAGCTTTCAAATACAGAAGTTCTTTGTCAAATATTGGTTAGAAATTACATCATAAAATACACACACCTGGAGTTCAGGGAAGAACTATAAATAAACCTTAGAAATAGCAGTACTTTAAAGATTCTTCAGTGTGCAAACTACAAGATAAGTTTAAAAAAATAACACTGGAAGAGAGGGGTGAAATCCAGCAGGTTCTGACAGGGTCTGGAAATTTTGAGTAGCCCCAGAGTGGTGTGGGAATGGAGATTTTGCAGTATCCTTCCGCTGGAGTGGAGTAGGAATGGAGATTTTGCAGTATCCTTCACCTGCCATGCCCACCAAGCCACGCCTACCAAGCCACACCACATCTACCAAGCCATGCCCACAGAACCAGTAGTAAAAAAATTTGAATTTCACCACTGCTGGGAGGGGATTGCCTGTGTGAAAGTCAAGCTCTGGTGAATTCATAGGCCATAGAAAGTGAAAAATTGGGAGCTGATGGTGTAGGGTGGAAATGAGGGACTGGTGGAATGTTTTCAACCTTCAATCCATCCTAAATTCACCAACCTCTTTTGTAAATACATTATGACCAAAGTAAAATGAAGAGAGGACTCACCCAATCCCAGTTCCATCATTTACGCAGTTTTGAGTCCCGAACAAAAATGTTTAGTCACTAAGAGCCCTGTTCCCCAACTTTGGCAGTCTGGACTTCAAATCCCAGAAATCCACAACCAGAATGGCCATTGATGAGAGTTCTGGGATTTGAAGGCCATCCAAGTTGCCATGGTTGGGAAACCATGAACAAAAGTATTGTAATGCAAGAGACATTTCTGGAGTGAAGAATGGGAGGTGGATGGGATTTCTGTACCGACATCTCTTGTATCGTTTCTAGGATAGCAACGGGAGCTATACCTTCATCCCATATGTGGTGACAAACCAGAAGAAGGTCTTTTGTTGTGATGTCGGCACCATGATGTGTTTGACTGAGCTTTACCAGTCCAACTTCAACATGGAAGCTGTCTTCAATCCACTCACAGCGCAACTTGCTAAACTGCTGGAGGGCACATCTGTCAGCTCCAGGTAATGGTCCCTTCCTTCTTTTTTTTACTTCAGATCAGGAATTTGGTATGAGGAAGAGGCAAGAGCAGGGATCTTCAAACTTGGCAACTTTAAGATTTGTGGACTTCAACTCCCAGAATTCTCCAGCCAGGAATTCTGGGAGTTGAAGTCCACAAGTCTTAAAGTTGCCAAGTTTGAAGACCTCTGGGAAATCCACAAGTCTTAAAGTTGCCAAGTTTGAAGACCTCCAAACTCAGTTTTTCAGAGGCGAGAACCTGGAAACTATATCCCAGGCAGGGACAAGCAACTTTTGGATAGTTTGGGCTGTGCTCATTTATGTGTGTAACAATTGGCTTGATGGATGAGTTGACTCAGCAGGAATGTGAAGCACGACTTTGTAAATAAGATAATAGTGGCAGACCGCTTGTAAATCTTTCAGAGTGATTAGATATACTCTCAAAAATATGTCTTTGGTTCCTGTATTATTTTCGGTATTCATGGAATTATCTAGCTCAATACCTATTGTTGGGAACGTCAACAGACAGAAGCGGTTGAGTTTCCCCATGTCCTTTATTGCCTACCCTGGAAAGAAAAGAGATTAGATGGATCTTTAATCTGACTCTGAAGAATAGATGTGTGTATTTTGTAGATTGCAAAGAAGACAGAAGGTGAGCAAAAGAGATTTAAATAGAGTTAAAAATGAACCATATAATATTAAAGAGGGAACGAGCGCAAAGAAGCCATTCTTGTTCTGACCAAGGTTTCCCAAAAGCATGAAGCAAACTCCTGGTCCCGACAAAAACCCCTTTTATTAATTTGCTGTGAATTCTGCTCATTCACATCCAGAAAAAGTCTTTCAAGGGAGGATTTACAGTCACAGACCTTCTCTGGCATAGAGAGCTGACAGGCCGATATCTACAAAACTTGGCAAGGAGTCTCGGAGAGTCACGAACCAATCAAGCAAACTAATTGTCTCCTGCAAACTCCACTCCCCTTTTGCTCCTTTTTATTTCCTCTGGGAGGGGCCATTCATCGTCCACCTGTGGCCTTACTCCCAAGTCAACCCATGTCTCTTAGCTGTTCCCTTCATCTGGTAACTCTGCACATGTACACACTGGGAACAGGCTCCAACTGTTCTTCTGCCTCACTGAAGTCTGACTCTGAAGGCAGCTGATAACTGTCAGATGGCTCTGGCCATCTCTCTGTTTCCAACACAGAGCACTCGTCAGAGCCTTCCCTAGACTCCAGGACTGGCCCATGTTCCTCCTCACTGTCCGAATCTACTGCCAGCTCCACTAGCTGCTGGAGAGCCACAACAATTCTGAGATACCCATAGTAGCTAGGGACTACTCTACTGTCTACTTTTAATTCTGCCTAAATTAAGCAGGAAGACTGGTGATTGAAAGCCCGGAGATTGTATCCAAAATTCTTTGGAATCCCATGTGAGAAACAAGATGATCAGTCTTCTATTTTTGGAGGTATGTATTACCTCCCAAACCTGAACTTCAATCAGAGCAAGAGCTTTTGAACTGTTTGATCTCAGGTTCTGGAGTAATTTGAGGACTTAGTTAGACTTCCTTAGGAAACTGCCACGAAGCCTTCTCACGTTTCCTCAAAATCTAGAGTTTCCCCACAGTGTCACGTTTCAGCTTGTGTCAAACTTCTCATTTTGATTTTTTTTTCCTTTGAAACCAAACGTCTGTTAAGAGTGGTACCATGTCAGCAGAAGTCAAATGGGGAAATGGGTTGGAAGTCAACTTTCTCTTAATTGCAAACATCTGTTATTATCTCTTTGGTGATAAAAATGATCATGCATTTTTGCTTTACCGGTGAAAAACGGAGTCTGGGTGATGGTGTTATTCCCAGTTCCATGTTTTATTCGTTCCTGAAGATTGGTCCTTTAGCACCCAAGGTTGGGTCATACTAAATTGTTAGCTGCTTTGATGTAGGTAGCTCATATGGACAGTGAAATATGAAATGGAAGCAGCAACCAAAATAAAACAGAAGGAGCTCTTTCTTTTTGTCTTCAGATCCTACTTCTTGTTCTCAAAAATTGTCCTGGAGTCAAGATGGCAGGAAGTTGTGGTAAACCTCACCATTGTCACCACAACAAAGCATGATGTGTTGCCAGAGATTTGCTTCAAATGCTGTGTTCTTGTCATAGACATAATGTCTAGAAAAGTGGGCATGCCACCTTCTCCTTTTATTTAAGAAATTATTTGTTAGGAACAACTCTTTGGAGAATCCGTACTCCTCCCTTCATAAAAAAAACTCACATTTATACGACTTGAGGCCACAGCACCCCTGCAAAAGTTGCCGTTGTGTTATAATTTTATGTGAAGGGAGCATATTACCCCCTCATCTTTTAACAACCATATTGTCAGCATTTGAAAACCAGTTTAGTCTAGTGCAGGGGTCACCAAGCTTTTGGACCTCCGGGACCACTAAATTCATAATTTAAAATCCCACAGACCACTAATAGGACCTGCCTAATGACCAGCTGGGTGGGCATGGCTAGGTGGTCACATGACTGGGTGGACCAGTGGTGGGATTCAGCCAGTTCGCACCTATTCGGGAGAACCGGTTGTTAACTTTCTAAGCAGTTCGGAGAACCGGTTGTTGGAAGAAATCTCNGAATAATCATATCCAAGGACCAGTGGTGGGTTTCAAAAATTTTTGGAACCTCTTCTGTAGGTGTGGCCTGCTTTCCGGGTCCACTGGTGGAACCTCTTCAACCGGTTCAGTAGATTTGATGAACCGATTCTACCAGGTACGATCTGGTAGGAACCCACCTCTGATACAGAAACATACGTGGTAGCAAATACCTGACAAGCAATCAATCTTCTTCTTAACGCTACACAGAGAACTTAGCAATGGATACCGGATACAAGGAGAGAGATACACAGAGAGAGATACCCCCTGTCAGGGTGCCCTTTATATAGACACCTCTTAAAGTGGTATTGACTTATGTGGACCCCTTCATGGTCTTCAAGTGGCTATACCAATGCTGATTCATCTTCATTGCATCAGCCTTCCATTTCCATCAGCTTTACAGTTGCATCAACCTTACATTGGCTGGCCAGCTTTAAATCATCATTACCCTGACAAATAGAAAAGAAAGAAAAAAGACACAAAGCAGCTTCTGCCCTTCTTTACAGCAGTTATAAATACATTTATAAATTTACCCCTTTATTTGTGTAACTGACTTTATAGTTACCACGTTAACTCATTTCTATCTGGCTATGTAATAATCAAAACCACAAATCATAAGTTTAGTTTTTGTTCTGTTTCATGCACAAACTCTAAGAAGGGATTTCCAGTAAGCAATAAATGTAGATATTATCTTTTCTCTGAACAAAGAAGTCGATTTGACTATTTTAGGAAGTTTCATCTTCATGAACAACCATTCCTCCATTGTGGGTAATGTCAGATCTGTCAATCTTTGTGCATACGATAATCTTGCTGAAGTTGTCACGTACAAAAATTAAGTCCCCTAACTTTTTCTAACTGGTTGTCTTAACAGTCCCAAAAAACAATAATCTGGTCTTAATCTTTTACCCGTGTTATCCATCAATTCTATTTGATCTTCTGTTTACAAATTGTTTGGTTAACGTCTTCCTCTTCTGTTTATCCATCTTAAAGCCTACTCATATATATATAAAAAAATTGCAGGAGGCATGATGGCTCTGTGGCTAAAGATGCTGAGCTTGTCAGCTGGAAAGCTTTGACAGCCTGAGTTTGAGACTCGAGTGATGGGGTGAGCTCCTGTTACTTGCTTCAGCTCCTGCCCACCTAGCAATTCAAAAGCATGCAAATGCGAGAAGATAAATAGGTACCACTTTGGTAGGAAGGTAACAGTGTTTTGTGTGCCTCGGCATATAGTCATTCTTGCCACCTGATCATGGAACTGTCTTTGGAAATGCTGATTCCTTCAGTTAAGAATCAGAGCTGAGCATCACCCCCTAGAATCAAACATGACTGGACAGGGGTAATCTTTACTTTTACCTTTATTTTAAATTATTTTAATTTGCCCATTAATGTTTCAATTCCCTTTAAAGGACCTTCCAGAAATACCAAGTGATCTGCAAAAGCTCTTAACTTGTAACTTTTTTAAAAAAATCTTTATTCTAACAATCCTCTCATCTTGTTTTAAGTATTCAATATTTCAAGAACTAAAATAAACAAAAGAGAGGGTAATGGGAGCCCTCCCTTATTCATGTTTGTGTCATTCATGGATTTATTAGTTCTCCATTAAAAAAAGATTTGGGCTGTTTGTGAAGCAGAAATGGATCTGTTCTCTCCAAAATTCACATCTTCCAAAACCTTGAACAGGAAATCCCAATTTAACTTGTCAAAGGCCTTTTCTTCTTGTTTTTCAAAAACAATGCTTCACATTCTCCAAAACATCCAACACATTTCTAAAAATGTCCTTTTGTTCTTGCAAAACTATTTTCAGTCCACCAGTTTCTGATGAGGATTTGTGTTGTGTTTTCCGCATTTCTAAAATAAATTTGAACTAGAGATTCATCCCAAAGGTGCTTTTTCAAAAGGCAACTGGGCTTTGTTTTTCCTTGAAGACATTTTGCTTCTCATCCAAGAAGCTACTTTGATGCGAAGCGAAATGCCTTCAAGGAAAAACAAAGTCCAGTTGCCTTTTGAAAAAAGCATCTTTGGGACAACTGTGACCTGGATAACTGAGGATCTTCCTAGACATGTAAAGTTCCGTTATTTTGACATATCTGTAGGAGGAAGGCCGAACTAGAAATTGAATTTTTTTCTTGTAAGACTGCCTAAGGGGTAGGAGAAATTCCATTTCCTTTTTCCAAGAATGTCTATGTGGATTCACAATCAGAGTGTTTTAGCACACCTGTCTCCCTCCATCTTCAGATAGCATATTTAATAACAGGACAGGGGCAGGGAGGGGAATATTGCCTTCCTGTCTCAAGAGTGGGGCTTTTCAAGTGATTTCTCAACGTATTTCCTTAGAGGGAAGGGACATAGGTATTCTAAGAATATAGGACACTGCTTTCTACTGAGTCAGGCTCTTGGAAGGTCAGTGTCAACCCCACCCACAGGCAGTGGCTTTTAATATTTCAGCAACCTCTTCCCAGCACACCTTAATGGGCTGAGGTCTATGGAGATTCTCAG